GTTGCAGTTAGCTACACACAGACACTCAGTAAGTGGGAGTGTTTTAACAGGCTGATCAGCGAGGTGTTTTCAGGCCGGGAAGGAATTAAGTAGCGACGGGTCATAACAGGATAAGATATGAGTTAGCGCTTTGCCACATTGTCTGGCTGTTGTTTTTCACTGAATCATGTCCCGTACATGTGGAAAACAGTACAGCTTTATTTATTGTTATTTTTTTAAAACTCGATTGCCCCTCTAAATATGTCTAATTTAGTCTTTCGACTAAAAAACTATGACAAGTGTTTTACGTATTCCTACGACTGTGACTGTGTTATTCTCACATTGCTCAGTCAGGCAACATGTAAATGTTCAGGGTATCAGTGTATGTGTGAAGATGGCTTGAGTGTCACCAACACCTTATTCATTTAACATGTCACCCATGTGAACTGGTGATACAGCTATAATGATTTCAACCATTATTTACCAGTAATAACTGTTGCCAATCCACCCCAGTGCGTTAGAGAGGATTTTCTTACATAATTCAGAAGCTAAGGATGGATGGATGGAATGAGAAGTAATGAAGTAATGCCGGCTTCTCATTTCTCCTCATGTGGATAATAAAAATAAAGACAGAAACCTTCTCCACACACGGCAGATTTACTGACTGACACTAAACGAGAAATCTCTGAAAGCTTCTCTTCCATTCCTCTGTTCAAATATAATAATAGAGGAAAATATCCTCATTAAGACTCTAGTCTAATAATGCAGAATTATTCAACGCTAAAAGCCTGCCTCAAATCCCATTCTATATAAAAATCTGGCCTCCCTAATGCCCTTGGATTTAAACACACACACACACACACACACACACACATACACAATGTGATTCCTGTTCCAAAGCCCAAGTTCAGTGCCACACAACAGTCCCTAATGGGTCCATGCAGAAGAAAGCGGGCATGTCGAAGGGGCAGGGACGGGGAGGTTTCTACTTTCCTTTTCTCCAGGAATGCTCACTTGTCAGCACAGCGTGGCGGTGAGCTGAAAGAGCTTCCCCCGTCCGGCTATTCATCGAACACACAAAGGCAATTTCACAGGATGACAAGCTTTTTCTCTGCTATTCTTCCTCACTGCTCCTCATCGTCTCTCAGTTCATTCCTCTGTCTCTAAAACACACTTTTTCACACTTGCGCTCCCAGGCTGTCATTAACATGTTAATGGACATCCAGTAGAACATGAACGCAAACCAGTGGGAAACTTCTGGTGAAAAACACAAGCGGTGAAAGCAAAAAAAGAAGGCCTGGGAATGTCAGCATACCACTCTATCTCCTGGCTGACTCTGTCTGCGAGGGTGGTTAATTTGTCTGGAGCTAAACCACTCAGAAGCACCGCTCAGCCAAAGGGCCCTTCATCCATCAGGCTGATGAATGCAAGCAAAGTCGCCCTGAAAAAAACGGAGCCCTTCTGTAGACTACATCAGAGGTGCTTTCTTCTCGTGTACCTTTTTATCATTTAAGAATGTGATAAATACAGAAAAAGGTTATTTTTCCATAATGAGTGACCTGCTCTGGTTATAGCAACTCAAACAGAAAACACTAACACTGGTTGGACTCCCTCATTTATACAATGTGGATTAACCACAATGGTGTGTGTGGTAGCTGGAAATAAGTCATCAGATGACAAGATTAATTAGAAATGTTAGCTAGTTAATATACACTTTATTAACCCCTAAGCTGCTTTTCTGCAGCCAATATTTAGCTGTTCCAAACAGCTTGATTTTATTTTTAGATAAACTCTGTAATGTTTATCTAAAACAACATGCCATGATGTGGTAATAGTTGGAAATTTGGAAAATTATGCATCAACTGTCCTGACATACAGGCATACATTTGGTGGTGTGGCCTTCCTAATGCATTCACACATTTGTAGCTATGACTGGCCTAGTAGAAGCTAGCTAGCGTTAGCGTAGCTGTCACTTTAACAAT